ACTTGGTTGGGAGATTCTTATGCATCCACCTTATAGTCCGGACCTGGCACCAAATAATTACCACCTGTTCCTGTCTATGGCGAATGATTTTGCTGGTGAAAAATTCGCCTCAAGAGAAGCTTGTGAAAATCGACGGTCCCAGTTTTTTACCAATAGGGACAAGGGTTTCTATGAGAGAGGCATAATGGAATTACCTTCAAAATGGCAACAAGTTATCGAACAAAACGGTGCATATTTGACCTAAATCGGATTAATCTAACTATGCTAAATAAAGCCTTCAATTTCATGCAAAAATAATGGATTTCTTTTTACTACACCTTATATATACATAAAGAGAGAGGAAAAATTATGAAAATCTGTATTCAAAATATTATTAAAATATAGAAATATCTAAATATCTAAATATTTTGCATAATATTTATTGTAAACAAAAAATTAATATTTTGTAAATATTTCTATAAATATTGCACATGAAAAAAATAAATATAATTATTTATAATTATTAAATTAATAAAGATATAAGAAAATCGAAATTTAAATTGGTAATGTACATTAGAAAAAAATTCTTTAAATGAAAGAAATATATTTTGTTACATATAATTTCTTAACTTAAAAAAATATTTGTTAAATTTTAGAAAATATATAATAAATATAAAGAAATATTTTTTTAAATTTGTAAAATAAGCTGTAAAATTATGAATTTATAAATAAAAAAAGTGATTTCTTTGATTTAAAATATCTATATATATAAGAATAAACAAATGATTTCTTTACAAGGGGAAAGTTAGTGTTTTTAAATGTAAAAACTGTTTAAGTAAATATTTGCTTGTTTTAAAAGTAAATAAAATACAATTAAATCATTTTATAAATCTGAATAAATTATTTTCTAATATTAAAAGTATTTTTTTATGTTCCAAATTAAAGTTTCTTTTATTATCAGAAAAAAATTTATTTAAATTTACAAAATAATTTATTTTACTTACTTTTAAAACATGTAAATATTTTTTAAATATACTTTCTACATACTTGTTAAAATATATATTTTAAAAAAATCTATTCTCTTCTTTTAAATAAATCATATGCTTTCGTATATGGATATACCATATGTACACAATATAAAGCGTCTCTTAATCAAAGTGACAGTGATGCAGTAGGTAAGATGAACGACACAAGAATCAGCCCAAGTAACAGACTCACGTCAAAATGACGTAAAAAACTGGTCATAACTGGTCGAATGACGTCAAGTGACTAAATAACGACGTCTTTAAAACGTTTTTTTTGTGATATCTTAATGACGTTTCTGTATAACGTCTTAAAAATGTATTATTGACGTTTAGAGACGTCATAAAACGTCATTAAGTCGTCTAAAATGTCGTCATCTGTCTGCAACATTAGACTATCATTTTGACGATATTCTCACGATATTTTTCATCATTCCTTGGTTATTTTTTATCCTGAACTTACTTAGATTTGGATGTCA